AGGATGTATTACCTTTGTTTTTGATATAACTTAAGTGTACGTTTACACAATTTATTTTTTAATACTGGCTGTGTTTAAAAACTGCACCACAAAATCCCTAAAATATGTAACAACCAGCTCCTGTAAGCTGGTACAAGCTGCTCCCACACGCCACAAACAGATCTTGAGATACTTTCTTCTCCAGGAGGTCTTGCTTTAACGCCACAGAACCCTATGAGGTTGGCAACTTCTTCGTACTTTCACCCTAATAAGTTATGGAGGTAAGAGTCAAACTGGGTCCCACAGATTCCACAGCCATGCTGTGCCCGCCTCACTACATTACCTGCCAAGAGGCAATAATTTTGCAGCGGAAGAGAAATCTATCATGTGGCAGACTGAAGAGCAGATAAGGACGCTCCCTGCGCAGATGGTGCTCATTACACAGATGGCCACCAGATGGCGAGCATGCCAGCCTCCTCCCCGTGAAACTGCTTTCTTGAATTTCAAGATGCGGAAGACCTCAGAGAACAACTGTTTGGGTCTTCCTGTGTGACAGATAGGGAACTTTTCACAGCATTTGAGAATATTTGTGTACTTCATCAGGAAGGTAAATTGCCACTTTCCCTCTAGTTTTCCATTACACGATAATACTAGTAACAGTGGGTACACATTCAAAGGCCATGTACTTGAAGTGCATTGACTCATTTATTCCAAACAGGAATTCCCAAGAAGTATGAATAACCATTTCTCACTTTTCCAGACGAGAAAACTCAGGTGTTTCTCAACCAATATGTTTATTTCATAAATATTTATTGAGCATCTGCTGTGATCCTGCCTGTAGTAAGTAGCAGAGTCAAGATTGAAACTCAAGAAACTCAGCTCCAAATCTCATCCTCTTCCATTATCTCAAATACCTGAGTTGTTATGACTTTATTAAACAAGGCCCCTTCTGCCCTCCAAAAAAGCTGGCTGGATTTTATCTGAATTATCATCACAGCTGTATGACAGTATGACACCTTACTTTGCCTGTTTGATCCAGTTTTCCCACTTCTGAAGTCCCTAAGTTCCCTCGTACCTCTTCGTTTGTAGCATTATCAGTTATCTAAGCAATGAATAAGAGAAGCTTCATGGCATAAATTATTGCTAGGAGCTACATTTGATGTAGCTGAAACCCTCAGAGATTTTTGCTGCTGTTGTGTATAACATCATACACAAAATTTTTAGACTGAGGGGAGAGTATTAAATAATGCCAGACAAAATCTCACATTATAATGAAGACACAGGACACATGGACAGTATATCAAAAAAAATGCATGGTGGGACTGGCCCCATGGCCGGTTGGTTAAGTGCTCATGTTCCACTTTGGAAGCCCAGAGTTCGCCCATTTGGATCCTGGGCATGGACCTACACACTGCTCATCAAGCCATGCTGTGGTGGCATCCCACATACCAGAGCTAGAATGACCTACAACTAGGATATACAACTATGTACTAGGGCTTTGGGAAGAAGAAAAAAGATGCGTGGTGGTGAAGGCAAAGTTCTTACCACAGCCTACGAGACCCCCTGTGGTCTGGGCACTCCCCACCTCCACCTCTCCAGCTGTACTCCCCATTATGCTCATCCCATCTCAGGGCCTTTGCACTTACTGCTTCCTCTGTCAGGAATTCTGTCGCCCAGGTGATGCGGGGTCGGTGAGCCGAGGAGTCGAAAGAAAGATTTCTTGGACTCTCAAGATCTGGCAGTAGTGCTCTTTTATTTAGAGAATAGAATAGCATGGGGACAGGACCCATGGGCAGTCAGAGCTTCTGCTGCCGCTGCTTCTGCTACCCCCGCTGGCATGGGGACAGGACCCATGGGCAGGCAGAGCTGGTGCGTGGGGATAGGACCCACGGGCAGTCAGAGCTCCTGCTGCTGCTGCTTCTGCTGCCCCCGCTGACATGGGGACAGGGCCCATGGGCAGTCAGAGCTCCTGCTGCTGCCCCGAGTTGAGGGTTAGGGCTAAATTTAAGGCATAGGTATGTGAGTCATCTCTTTACGAAGACAAAGGAAAGAACATGAAAAAAAGTTAAAATGGTATCAGTGCAGGTGGGGTCTGGTCGGTCATTGGGTGATCCCATGACTTTTAGACAAGAATCAAATCAGATTAAGTAAAGGTCAGAAGCCACCACCCTAAATCAGTTACATGAGATTGCCAGACAGCAACCAACTTAAGTTCTTGCCTTCCCCATTAAGAGTTTCTAGGGATAAGGTCATCTCTCTTCTTCTTCCTGGTACAGAGAGGGAGGCACCTTTTACAGATAGAGATTTACCTTACAAATGTAAATATGTCCCAACAAGGGCAAGTTCCATTTCCCAGAGCCTCCTTCCCTGTCCCAGTTTATGGAAAGCAATCAGCCCAAAACAATCCCGATGCCAAAGAGACATATCCTGGGGTGGCCAATTTCAGGTCCCTACAAGGTCATCCCCCTTCCTTCACAAATGCAAATGTCTCTCAAAAGGGCAAGCAAAATTCCAGTCCTCGGAGCCTGCTTCTTACGTGCAGTTTTAAAAGTAACCAGCCTAAAATCCTCATCACAGGTATTCACCTGGTGTGCTCTCTCACTCTCTTCAGGCCTCTGTTCTCATCACCTATCCAGAAAGACCTTCTGGAACCTGCCTTAAAACTACTAGCCCTATCTTCCATCTCTCACTCTCCACACCCCTGCTACCTCCCTCATTCCACTTCATTTTTCTCTGTAGCACTTGTCATCACCTGTCATCATATACTTTTGTTCACTTGTTTTCTATCTCTTGCCACTGGACTATAACTTGCATAGGAATCACAACTTTTTTTTGGTATTATATTCCCCAATACCTACATCAAGAAATATATTAGGGGCTGGCCCAGTGGTGCAGCAGTTAAGTTCGCACGTTCTGCTTCAATGGCCCAGGGTTCGCCGGTTGGATCCTGGGTGTGGACATAGCACTGTTTGGCAAGCCATGCTGTGGTAGGCATCCCACATATAAAGTAGAGGAAGATGGGCACGGATGTTAGCTGAGGGCCAGTCTTCCTCAGCAAAAAGAGGAGGATTGGTGGCAGATGTTAGCTCAAGGCTAATCTTCCTATAAAGAAAAAGAAACATATTAAAAATGAGTCCATGCCTGACCCATACTATGTGCTCAGTAGTAAGTCAATGAATATGAGGAAGATAGAGTCCTTTTCTAAACTCTCATCACTGAAGCAAACGGGATAGATCTCTCTGAAACAATCAGTGGAATGTTCCTATTGAATCCCAGATACTCAGTCTCTTTATTGGATTTTTTTCCCAGTGATTTGAATTGATCCCCAATAGATGTAGTGGTAGCTAGGGAAAAAAACCTCTTGGAAAGCCAACATTTAGCTTCACAGGGCAAGTCATCAACATGAGCATCAGGGAGCTCCGAAGGGAAAGCCGACAGACAATAAAATGAGGGGAAGTTAATCTTACGTTTTTAAATTTGGTGCCTTAAGAAAGCATCATGTGGTGTAAGCTTTTTGGTAATATCACTGAAACAGCCAAAGATCTAACATTAACTCTATTGTTGCTGTTGTTGAAATACATTCTGGGTCACATTTTGTGTCATTACAATGCCAAGAACATCTACGATTCCTGCTTGCCGTCAGTGTTTGAATTCATGCACAGAAGTCTATCCTGTCTATTTAAAAAGTGTTCTCCAAAAACAAAAACCAAACGCAGAGAATGGTAATTTTGTTCAATGAAGTAGTTATTTTAAACCTGGATGAAACAGTAAAATCATCCAGACCCGTGTGTGTTGTGTTGTGTTGTTTTGGGCCAGCTGGACCTTTCATCAAAAGAAATCTTAGAGGAGACCCAGTGGGAAGCAGATCAAAGCGGAGGAGCCCAGGGGAGCTCGTCAGAGCATCGTTAAAGCCCATTGATCTAGTCCAACCTCATTGTCTCACAAATGAGGAAGCGACCCACCCAGCCAGCTCTCCCTTGAGGGCTAAATCTCCCATCAGAGGAGACCGAGTGGCATGGCTCCTCCCGCAGCCGGACAGAACAGCATTTTTACATTGCACCCATTTTTACAGATAAGTAAACACTGCTTTCTCAAGGGGGCTTTTTCCGACATCCCAGATTAACTTAAGTCTCCTACATGTTCCTTTAATACCTTGCCCTTTTCTCCTTGAAATTCTCATCACCTTTTTAATGTTTTCAATGCATGACTACCCTCTTCAGTATAAACCATATGGCGACAAGGGCAGTGTCTCTCACCTTCCCCATTGCATCCCCCAGAACATAGAACGTGGCCTGTAAACAGAACCGTGACCACCTTCAGGGGAAGGATCATGTCATATTTGTCTTTTTATCCCCAGTGCCTGGTACTCTTATGCTTAGCTCAGAGTAGCAGCTCAATCATTGTCTTTGAGTTGAATTGCATTGTGGAAATAAAACTACATAGAAAGTCAGGAAAATCTTTTCCTGGCTTCATTCAGGCTTTTCTAGGGTTGGGTGGTCTCGAGCAATTGTCCTACCTAGTTTGTCTTTCATTTTGTCAACCATAAAACAAAGGAATTGGATTTAGGGGTCTTCAAAAGCCCTTCAATCTAGAAAGTTCTCTGATGCTATTTTCCTCTGCTTGGAAATGTCCAATGAAGGTGTTAGGCAGGAACTTGAATTAATGAGATGACTATTAAAGGATGCTAATTCTAATTAGGAAACAGTGGTTAAGAGGGGACCACAGGCGTCACACCATTGCAATGCAATCTTCGTTCAATCACTTACTATCTGGGTGACAGGAGGTGAGATGCTTAACTCCCCCCCGCCTCAGTTTCTTCATTACCGAACAAAGGCGAGGTTGAAGGAGATCGCAGAACTAAAGTATTTAGCATGGTGCTGGCTAGCTAATAAGATCTCAACAAATGTTCATCGACATCATCATCTAGATTATTAAAATGGGAATGATTTACGTTTAAATATATGTAAAAATAGCTTGATGACACTTTCCATAAACTCACCGCACTACCTCTTATGTTTTAGGAAACAAACCCACAAAGGGAAACAAGGTAAGAAAAGTCATGAAAATGCATTTGTTCCCCACTGTCTATTTTAGAAGCATAGGAATGTTGACAATGTGAAGATATCACTTGAAAAATATATATCACTTGAAAAATATATCCTAGAAGTTTGGTTGGGATTTGTAATTTCTATTTGTAAACCAAAATATTGTTAGCCATTAGCTCTGCTGAAGGAACAATAAACTGAATTTCTAATTCTCTTTCCTTCTGCAGACTCCGTTACCACCTCCTCGGTAAGACCCTGAAAATAGAATCTTGTTTTGCTATATACTTAAATGATTAGTTTCAGAGTTTGAAAATTTCCAGAATTTGAAAAGGAGAAAAGTGAACATTTGACACTGAAAAACTAATATGAGCCGGCCAGTGAACAAGATTAAACGAGCATTTAATCATTCATTCACAGTCGTCTATTCAATATACCTTCCCTCGTCATCTCTTGATGAAAGCACTGCTTCCCATCCCTTCCTGTTTCTCTCCCTCCTATTAGTACAGAAATCTGCCAGACAGTACTGGCACTGGGAAATGTCTTCAGGAACTTGCCATATATAAGTATATATTTATATAAGTACATGTATTTCTATATGTAGCACATAAGTAAATACAAATATTGTTATATATATATACAGACATGGAGGTGAGAGCAACAGACTGATTTCTTAGGCTCTGAGTGAGTAGGCCACTCTGCTGTTCTCCATGGGCCCCATGAGCGCCTCCATCACAGTACTTATTACCCTTGCTGCTAATCTTCTCATCACTCCTCTCTCTGCCCTCCTAGAGGGGAGCAACTCCAGCCAAGGACTGTGTGTTTTTCCTCTCTGCACTCCAGCATCTACCAACAGTGCCTAATACACTTTACAGTTGAGTGAGTGAGTGAGTGAATAAATGGGCGAGTGAGGCATTCATTGACTTTCAAACATTTTCCTATTTTGGGGGCGATTTAAAAAAACTCAGGTCTTCGGGTCTGGGGTAAATGAAGGCTATCCCCGTATATTTTTTTTCAGGCCTCCTAAAACTCGAACAGGTGGCATTTGAGAAAACTAGGTCACCCTGTAAAAAATTACATCACACTCTTTAGAAAACAGAACCCAACCAAAGAACACGTTGCAGGGAGGTAGACCTAGGCTGGTTAGGACGGTGACTATTCTGACATTCGAAGCTGCCTGAAATGGATCGGGCTGCCCTGTGAAGCAGTGAGCATAGGGAAACTAACATTTCCAACCCAAAGCTGGGGCGCTGAGGGCAGGGCTGTGTGAAGGCTGGGTCTGAGGAGCCAACTGCACCACACACCTTCTCAGGCCCCACTGACTCTTCACACAGGCCGCCCATCACCCTTCCCAAGAAGTACCAGCCCCTGCCCCCCGAGCCGGAGAGCAGCAGGTCAGCCTTCCCTCAGAGGCACACCTTCCCTGAAGCCAAGAGACAGCCCAGGTGAGAGACTCGTTGTTGCTGCTGGTGCAATGACCAGGGAGAGTGCTGGGCGGGGACGGTGGCAAGGACAACCAAACTACTCACCTCTCTGAAAGGCTCCCTAGCGGCGTGGGGAGGAGCCAATTATACATCCAGGGAAATCAGTCTTAGAAACCTGGAGTTTGATTCTTTACAGCAAACACAGCTTCTTTGTAATAAAATGAGCTATTGAAAGAATGGTTCACTTGAGGTCTGAATTACTTGTTAAAGAAAATGTTAAATGTCTGAACAGATCAGGACTTTTTATGGAAAAACTGAAAGGGGGGTTCAGACTATTCCAGGACTGATAGCGGCCCCCAGCTTCCCATCACTCAGGCTGCAGGAGTATAACGGTGCGTGAAAACCCATTTGTCAAATACATGATTGCCTTTTTGACAAATAAATATTAAAAACCAACCTTCTGGTATTAAGTGCTGATGACAGAGCCCCACCCCCAAATGGGTGGGGCATTTGACAGCCAGTTCCAATCACAAAATGTGACAAATGCAAATGGGCATATTTTTTCTCCAAGAGAGTTTGAATTTCCCAAATTACCTTATTTTAGAAGTCGGAACAGAGATTAGGGTTTTCCTCTTGTTCCTGCTCAGAATGAATGATGCTTTCTTACTGCAAGCTTGATTCAGCAGGTTGGGGCACCAGGCATGATTTCATTAGTAAGCATTTCTCACCAATACAGAAATTCAAAATATCATGTACATTTTGAGCTTTTATGGAAACCCATTCATCACTGGTTCTGATGGGGGATGTTAAAAAGCCTGAAATGCCATTTCCCCCTCTTCATTTGTTGGTGAAAGTCTCTTCGTCTTTTGGTCCTTCACAGCCCCACACAAACATACATCCTCCATGCAGCAGCCCCCTTGTCTCCTCCCTTATGCGATTGCCTTCCTCCTGGGCCCTTCTCAACTGGCGTAGCAGTGTGGGAAGCGGCGGGAGTTCTCATGTCTCCATGCAAACTGCCCGGTTTGAAATTTAGGTTCTCCTTCTTGTGAACTGGCAGATTTGGGGCAGGGGTTCTCAACTGGGGGTGACTTTCCAGATACTGCTAACTCCCCTGAGGGCAGACATTTTTGGTTGTGACAACTTGGGTCGGGGGTATTCTTCTGGCATCTAGTGGGCTGAGGCCAGGGATGCTGCTAAAATCCTACAATGCACAGGACAGCCCCCAGCACAAAGAACAATGAGGCTTAAGAGGTCAATCGTGCAAAGGTTGAAAAATTCTCCCTTAAGGCCAATTGCTAACCTTCTCTGAGCCCAAGGTTCTCTCAGTAGTGAAGTGAGGATAACAGTAACATCTACCACCCAAGTCATGGACTAACATGAGAATTAAATAAGATGACTCCTGTTGAGCGCTTAACAGTGCCAGCCTCGCACATATTTACAACCAACACCTATTGTACTCATTACCTTGAGCTCTTTTCTCTTGGCACCTTTGCCACCCCAAATAATATATATGGATACAAGTCTGTCTTTTCCACCCCAGAAGGCGGGACTCAGTCATTTTGGTATGCATGCCTCCTGGCATGGTGCCTGCCACATGGTAGATGTTTGATAAATATTTTATTTCCCCCTGCAGCTTCCAAAGGGTTCTAGCCAGACTAGGAGTCACCAAATGTGTTCTATCCTGATTTCTTTTTCAAAGAGTGAGAGACTGGGAGGCAACACCAGTAACGGGCCGTCAAATCCGCAAAGTGGTGTCATCAGAACCGGAAATCTAAGACGAAACATCCCTAAAACTCCTGATCAAATAGTCTGTTATGTTCAGAACTGGTCAAAACTCAGAGAAGTAGGAGAAAGAAAATAGGATGAAAAAAATATCAAAGGTGATGATGTTGTTTAGTATGGAGAAAAGAGGATTTCATCTTCTTTCTGTTTCTTCCTGCTGGAAAGAGCAGCATTCTGGGACCCGGGGGAGGTGGGTTTGCCTACCAGCTGAGCCTCTTCCGGCTGTATAATTTCGGAAAGCTCTTCAACAGTTCTGAGTCCTGCTTTCCTTATTTGTAAAAAGAAAATAACCATCCCCATGTGGTAGAATTCTAGCGAGGAGGTATGCAGTTTTTCTCAAGTGCCTGGGATAATATCTGTCACAGTACAGGAAAGAAGAGAGAAAAACACTTAAACAGCATCTCCCATCTGTCCCCAGCAGAATTAGGTACCCATAACCCTATTTTTTCTTGAAATCAAGGCTATATATTGTAGTGCAATGTTTCTCATCCTGGCTTTACATTAAAAGAATTAGGAAACCTTTTTAGAAAGTACTATTCCCGAGTGTCTGTTTTAATTGCTCTGAGACGTGGGAACCAGGCCTCACTATTTTTTAAAGCTTCTCCAGGTGAATCTACCAGGGCTAAGAACCCAGAGACATCCAGGTTCTAGGAATAGATCTGCCACTAAAGCCTGGAAGATTCTTAGGCCTTACCTGTCTGTGCCCAGACTTCTCATGGCTAGAATAATGCCGCCGTGACCTCCAGCTGCGTCCCTCTGCAGTCTGCATCTCACGAGTCTCCTGTGCAGCGACCTTACCGGTGTTGGAATCTTAAGAAGTTTGCACTTCCTATCTCTGGGGTCTCTGTAGTTATAGTTTACATTTGTTTAATCATTTTTAGATGTGATGAGAACTGTGCTGGTCTTTTCACTCCAAACACCTCCAGAGGGTAATTACATCTCATCTCATTGAATCCTTCCAGCAGCCCTATAAAGTATGGTTTTTCTAAGGTTTGGAAGGCTAAAGTGCCCAGCCCAGTGGATGGCATATGGTAGGTGCCTGGTAAAACCACTTCCCTACCCATTGGGCACAGATGGTCACTAAGACTCAGAGAAGTTAGGTGACATGGTCAAAGTTATAGGGTTTGTATGTGAGTATTAAAGTGGCAAGAATATGCAAAGCCTGTGCAAGACCCTGGGAATGCCATGAGTTTTGCTTTAGGAAGAGAGCTTTCAAATTCATTTTCAGTTGGTCCCCACATAGGTACTCAGATGACCAGTACTGATGACACAAGTCACATGTAAACAACCACACGAGGCTAGATTCACTTTCTCTGAAAACAAAAGGAGCACTGGAGATCTGAGCCAACGCTCGAAGCACAGCTCCTGCTCCTTTCCTAATAGCTGCTCCGTGGGCCCAGGGAGATGAATTGCCCTCCCTAAGGGGAGGCGGTGATTTACATCTGGCAATCAACTGCATCAATTGAAGGCGCCGACAGCTGCAGCCCTTTACAATTGGCTGTGCTCACCCGGAATGGTGGCTGTGGTTCCTGCTATTGTGTTTCAGCCCCCGTTTGTCTCCGCCAGCTCTGCCATTCTCGTTTTTTAGAGCTGAGTCTTGGCTTTACAAAACAATTGCTGAATCAAAGCACTTCAGTTAGGGAAAATGCCACTTAGATCATTCCTTGACAACTCAAAACTAGAAGAAAACTTTGATATTTGGGGGATGTCATTTGGACATTCTCAACCATTTGTGTAACATTATTATGATTTTTACAATATCCACATAATATTTTTTGCTCAGCTCGTTTTTTTTACTTAAGTAAATTTATTTAAAAGGGAAACATATTATTACCATAAGTAACTGCAACACAGACAGTTTCAGACCCAGCTTTGAGCCTGGGGAATTTTCTCTCTGTTAAAAAGGGAAGAGAAGTAAATGTTCCCTTGTGTTAAGGACGCCCTAACCTCCACCCTGCAACTCTCCTTGACATAATGAGAAAGAGATTAAAAAGGAAGAACTTTCCAACCATTTATCTATTGTTATTTTAATACCATGTGACATGCACCAAATAAAATCATCCGGAGTAATCATAAGAGTGATTGACATTTGCTGACCTCTAGCGACTCACTGGGCCCATTTTGGAGTCTTTTGGGCGCATTAACTCATTTCAACCCACAGCAGCTCCGTGAGGAAAGCAGGATTACAATCCCCAATTTACTGATGAGGACACAGAAATGCAGAGAGGCTCTTGAGACACCACATTCCTTTATGCTTCAGCAAACTCAGAGGCCCAAGGTGCTGCATTCAGCCAAAATATAATTTAAATAAAGGGGCCTGATATTTAACTAACAAAATACCTATTTACCTTGTATAGTTTTCCCTTTTCAAGAGGGATGCTGGCACCACATCAGTTCAAGAAGTCTCAGTGGCAAAAATGTATATTGTGATGATTTGGAAAGTGAAAAAAAAAATCTTTATAGCTATCGAGCAACCATGATCCTTTAAAAGAAAGTATGGATCACAAAGATATACAAATTTGCATTTATGAATGGAAATTATTGATTTTAAAGTGTGAACTTTATCATTATTATTATAGTTTTGCAAGATGTTGCCATTGGGGGAAACCAGGTGAAGGGCACTCGGAATCTCTCTGTAATATTTCTTACAGCTGCATGAGAGCTACAATTATCTCAGAACAGAGAGCTTAACTTAACAAAACTATTAGAAGTGTTCTGCAGGTAGAAGGTGTTCTTTTATTCCAAATAGCTTTCACATATATTATATCATGAGAACCTTAATCAACCCTCTTCATTACTGTCGGGATTTACCCATTTTACAGGTGGGAAAACTAGAGAAAGAATTTCACTTATCGAGAGTGACAGAGCTCATAGATGGCAGAGCAAGGATTCAAATGCAATTCATTTAAAACTAAGCCAAAAACTAAGGGAGGCTGACGAAGGGTTACTTTTATAGTAAAAGGTATTATCCTCAAATGCACACTGAGTACCTATTATGCGCGGGAAGGGATGTGGGAAAACTTATTCTCTGCAGTCAATCACCATGCTTTACTGGCCTTCTCCAGCAACAGAACCTGGGAAAACTTATGAGTTGGAAGATGCTCTCAGAGAGGCAATGTGGTGCTGTGGGGAGGAGGCCAGAGTCCCCGCCCTTTTCTGCCATTGTGTGACTTTATGCAGGTCTCTCTGTCTTCAGAAATCTCATTTAAGAGATGCCCTTCCCCCCTCCCCCAAAGCCTGAAGCCTTTGTTTCACAGGTGAGGGCAGCAACTGACTTATGGAGTCTTGTCAACATGGGCATTTCAGTGCCAAAAGATGCCTGTTGTGCCCAGAGAGGATTTCCTACAATTACTTTAAAAACCCAATTTTTTAAAGTTACCAATTGCAATGCCTAGCTTCACTGGAACCTCCAATTTCCGTCTGTAAAGTTATTGCTGTACTTATAAATCAAGTGATTTTATCTAAACAGAAAGACAGTCACTCTGCTCGTCACATTAGACAGGTTAAGGAATCTCAGACAATAAGCCTTATTGAAAAACTCAGTTAAATCTCCTTAAACATTTGAAATATCTTGATACAGTTCACTTGCTTGATTTTTAAGTATTTCTAATACTAGCAGGCAAGGTCTAAAGTCTTATCAGGCAAAACTTTAACAATTCTTGTCAATCTAATAAGGTAAATGTATAAATATGGAAAAATTTAAGTTCTCAAACAATTCGAACTCTTTACAAACAAGAGTCGAACATAGCTTGACTCTAGTAACTTAAAGTCACAAGTCTAACATCAATTATATATTTTAAATTGAAGCCACACGGCCAATCTTTCAGTATTCCTAAGATGCCAGAGTCTCTCAAACTTTGAGAACATTGAGATTAGCCTCAATTTAACCCCCAAATAATTAATACTATGGATGTCTGTTCTATTTTATTACTTCTAATCAGATCTTTTTATCTTCTCACTTGCCCCATTCAAAGGGGGAGGCAGGACACAGATGTACTGCCTCAGATGAACTGATGACACAAGTTAAAAAATGCGGCACTTCAGCACACTTGCCTATTGCTTGGAGGTCGGAGACCAGAATACGTCATCAAGCGCTATGTGCTCTGGGATCATCTTACCTGATATGGACAGACCTTTATAACCTAGGTCAACAGCTTTCAACTGAGATGGGTGTCGCAGCCTTAATCTTCCGGCATTTCTTCAGTTCTCGTCTTCTCACCAATGTGCCTGTCACCTCTACTCCCTCTGTAGTCTCCTCCTCTGACTTTGACCACATTCTAACCATGGTGTCCACTAGATGCCCAACATTTTAATTTTTATCTCTAGCAATACTCACAATAACCCTCTAAGATGAATACCCTTGAGGCCATTTTGCAGATGAGAAAAATGAGGTTTAGAGAGGTTAATTTCACTGTCAATGTATGCGAAAGGCTTAGAGCTTATTCTGGGACCTGTCCAATGTCCACGTTATCAAATTCCATGCTGAATTCTTTCCCTCTCATTCAGTTTCATGTTTTTTTGGTCTCACATCTCCTTTCATGATCAGCATCCTTTCTCTCACACGTGCCTTTCTGGGATCCCGCTGTAGCTGACAACTTCATGTTTAAAACTCTTTACACTTCCTCAAAGGAAAAAACTAAGAGCTTTAAAATCAAGGCACTAAGAGCAGCTCTGACTGTGCTAACCAAACTTGACACGGAAAACCAAATGTGGGGAGAAATGATGTTATTTAAATTCTCCTAAGATGAGAAGCAAGTTTATTCATGTCCTTTCTGTCACCACCTTTTACATTGGCTCATAACTTCTTCTTTTGCTTAGAAAATTATGAGAAAAATCACCTGGCTTTAGCTTTATAGAACAGTAATAAATATCACCCTGGACTATGGGCTGTTAATCTGGCAATGAAAATGTAATCAAAGGTTTTTAAGGGCTCAGAATGGTTTTATCTTGATCATTATGAATTGTACTTTATGTAACACCATATTTCTTTGCCTTGCAGACAGATAAGCTTAAAGAACTTAAGCGAGGTAAGCAGCGATTTTGTCCTAGGAAACAAAGAAGGAAATCTTTGCGCATTAATGTCTGCAATGACAAGATACTATTTGCTTCAGATACTTATCACACTGAATTATCATAATAGCTATGCTCAAAATGTATTATCCCTGTCTCAAAAGTGAGAAAAGTCAAGTAAAACAAGTTAGGGTGGAGATTTTAAACCAATGTCCTATTTTGCCAGCGTATTCAGTGTTTACTGGTACAGTGAAGAGAAGAGCATGCCCAGATCCCATGAAAGATATAGTCTCCACTGATGGCTTCCAGGCCCCAGCATTACAGAAATAAAATGGGGGAAATTGTATTATACTTTGCTATTTGTCCTTCACAAGAAAGACAGGACTGCACAGTAGAAGAAACATGAGATACAGAGTCACACAGACTGGGTTTGAATCCTGCTCTGCCACCTACTACTTTCTTGAACTTTGGCAAGTCCCAGTACCCCAAGCCCACCCCAGTTCTGTTTTCCCAGCCATAAAATAGAGATGAGTACACTCAGCTCTGCAAAGTTGTTGTGATAAAGTCAAAGTCAGTTAAAGTAAGCACATAAATGACCAGGTGAGAAGGAGAGGTTCCATAAATGGCCTGGAAGCCAGGTAAGATGCTATCTTAGAGACCCCGTTGGTATTTAGTTCCGTAAGCCCCCAAAGAAGAAATTCCTTAAGAAGATGGTGAGTCCACTAGGACTGATGGAAAGTTTCTGTCCAACAACACGGGTGGCCTCACCTCACTCTCACTGGCCTCCTAGGGATTTGGTTCTTGTCTTAGTAGCTACCTGTGCTCTTCTTTCTAGACTATATGGTTGATTTCTTTTCTTTCTTTTTTCTTTTTTGGCCTTATGAGAATGCTAAAATCAAAAATCACATTTCTAGCTTGTCACTCAAACAAGACATTTATTACCTCTAATCCATAAGACAATGACATCAAGGAGGATAACACACGACTGCTGAATGAGAGGGCCAGCCCTGGTTTCATTCAGGACTTCATCCTGCTCACCCTCTTCTGAGAGTTGTTGGGCTGTCTGGGTGCCACCAGGAAGGAGGAAGTTGGGGATAGTATTCTGCTGCTGGGGGAACCCACACGTCTAAAGGGATTCCACCCCTTTCTTCCCATGGGTCGGAGTTATGCATCCCAAGTAGAAGGTGCCTGCCACTCAAAATGACGTACAGTCCATCACTCATTTGTCAGTCTGAAGGAACAATAGGACCCCAATCACAAACAAGCAAGAAGGAAAAGGGGAGGTCAGTCTTAGACAGCAGGGATCATGCAAGACTGTTTATTTTCCTTGCAACTTTGGTTGGCATTCTGCTAGAAGTCAATACCATCTAAAGAACAACAAGGCCCAGTGGAAAAACACATTCTTCCTCCTTATCTTTTGCCAAGACACTTCCTCATTGTTTGTCTGGGCTGAGACTCAAGGCCATTTCTCTACCAGCGAAGCCCATCTCCTAAGGCAAATGCCATGCTCGTGTGTGTTAATTGCTTGCTCAATTTTATCTTGTGGACCAAAATCCATTCCAGCAGAAATGATGTGCTACCTGCCCCAACTCAAATTCACAGAGTGCTTTACAGTTTTCAAGGAGAGTAGAAACTCATTATCTCATTTAATTCTCCAAAAACCTGAAGAGAAAAAGAGGTGGCAAGACTTGCAGAGTTCCCACAGCTGGCAGAAGATAGGACCAGCCCCAGAAAGCCCAAAGTTAGGGTCTACTCCCCACGTCTATGACTCTCTGCCTTAGAAAATTCAGAGACAACTTTAGGCTAAGATAGTGAAAAAAAGAAGAAGGAAGAAAGGAAAGGTGGAAAGGAGAATGGGAGGGTGGAAAATAATAAAGAAGACATTACTATTTAACTTGAATATGTTTATTCTCTAATAACGTTAAGAAACTAGAGAGATTTCACTCCACTTTTCTAATTACATTTGATTTTAAATTCCAAGGCCTCAAGCTAAAAGTTGGCTGGGTCTCAATTAAATAAAACAACTGCTCTGCCAGACGCACGGCTTCCGTGCCGTGTTTACAGCCCTGCTCCCCTTCCCTTGGACAAGCCTGAGAACCACAGCCGCATCTGATTGAGCACTTTGAACTGCCAGTTCAAAGTCCTGGGGAAGACTCAGTGGGAAGACTTTCAAACCACTCGTTAGAATGGATGCGTTACCCTTTTTACTTAGCCTAGAGATTTGCCTTGATTTGCTGTCCGCGATAAACTGTATGTCTTCTTTGCAGAACCCTAGGGAATGCCAAGGTCTTTGAAACAAAATGGCTTGTCTGTTGGCTAGGTTCAGACAAGATGTACAATGCATCTCTAAGCTATGTATTGCTAAAGCTTTCTTATCTATGAAGCCAACGTGAGGCACGAGACCTCGGCTCCGGGGCCAGTTCAGCCACAAGATAACTGTTGCAATCTGGGGAAATGTACCACTCTTTGGACCTCGTCTGCAGACCACTGGCTTTAACTTTTCATGGAACTCAGACCCCTTCGAAAATTTGATGAAAGGTGTAATAAAGCAGAAAAAAATGCACATATTTACAGAGGAAAAAAATTCGTTTTTAATTTCAGAAGTTTCAAGGACCCCGCTAGGCCATCCAAGGACCTCTTCTGTCTCCCACGTTATGAAGCTGTGGTCTAAATGATACCCAAGGTCCTCCCCGGCTGATGCAATGCATGAAATGGACTTTGGAAAATTACTTGAAGTGAAGTAATCTTACCTTCAACAAATACTTTACCTCTTGTAAGGTATTTTGCTTCTTTAAGAGTAGAGTAGGGCCCAAGGATATGCATCCGATAAGCACACAGATTTTCATGATGAAGGATGATCAGGAATTCTACCACTGCTAAGGAAAGGAAGAGAAAGGAAATGTCTGGGGAGATAAATGGCTGTATTTAAAAAGAATAACGTGAATATTTTCATGCTCATTTTTTAAAATAAAAATTTCAGATCAGGTATAAAGAAAGAAAATTAACCATAGCCTCATCACTTAAACACAATCTCTATTAAGATTTTATCATATTTCTTCAAATCCTTTTTTCTACACACATAGACCCACACACACACCTGCACGTAAATATGTCATGAACCCAGTTTTATCCTGAACTTTTAATGGAACATTGAGACATAATTATAGAATGGTCTTATTCCATACTCTACATCAGCATTTACAATGCATTTGTAATATTCCAATAAGTGAGTATAGCACCAATAATTATTTAATGGCTCTCACTATGGGAATGTGGATTGTTTGCAGTGTTTTGACAATATAAGTAATTTTATACTAGACATCTTTGTACATGGAACTTGTCCAGATGTCAGGTTGCTTTCTTAGAAGAAGAGCCTCATCGATGGAATTGCTGGGAGAAGAATAAGAGTGTTTCGAAGGCTCTTGACAGCTGGGGTTAGATTGCTTTCCAACAGAGTCAGCGCAGTTGGTAGTCCCACCAGCAGACCGTATACTTGCCAGTTACATCACACAGAGTATAAAATTTTGATTTTTGCTCAGTCTTTTGGAGAATTATTTGTAGATTTTTTTAAAATTCTAAACTAACAAAAATTTTGCCCAAACTCTACTATCCAACTGCTCTAAAACATACATGTAAATCATATTTTATGTTAAACATAAAAGGTAAAATCCTCTATCACCAAGAGTTATTCATTGTTATTATTATTTTTTTTAATACAGGTCCTTGGAACAGAGAAAGGTAACTGTTTACATTTGTTTTCTTATCCTAATGTCATTAGGTTAAGTTCTGTTAACAGATTTATAGTGCTGGTCATTTTTTAAAAGGATTGATAGTTTCAGAGCATGAGCTATACGGTCACGTGTGTGTGTGCATGACAAGATCCAGATGGATCCAGGACGTCATAGTCTATTCAAGAGTCCTCCAGTCTAACCTGGTGATTTAAATTAGAGGTAGGCCAGAGGGCTTTCTTCAGCCACAGGCTACTGACAAGAGGGAGGCACACCATTACCCCCTGACACTTTGGAAAGATGTTGCTGACCCACTGCTCCAGAGAAGCTCCTGGTCTCTCCATCTTTGATGTCACCCATACACATACACATGTGCCCTCATGCATGCATGGATACACACACACACATGCACACTGTTGGTGCCATTGTTGTAGAAGCCTGAAACCCAACACTCACTCACCAGCTGGCAGGATGCTAAGCAGGTAATACCTCCATGCTCATCCTTGAAATACTGTTCACTATTCACTTAGAATGACGAATTACGTCCAGAGCTGAAGGGCCTGAGCTATGGCCCAAAGAGTTGACACAGGCGGCATAGTTCAACAAAACAACATCGGCTTAGGATTTCAGAGGCCTGCTACCAACTCACTGTGTGATTTTGGCCAAGTTTCATCGCCTTTGTGAGTCCCAAGTCTGCTCTTCTTTATGTTGAGGAAGTTAGACTTGAGGGGGGTCTAACTAGGTTTATGGATTCCCAGGGGTCCCCGATGGAGGAGTAGGGGTCTGTTGGAAATTCTAAATAAACTTAAAATCTAAAGGAAGCTGCCCTTTTCCACACTAAAGCTCAACATCCTAACTGAAATGTTCAGATGTTGTTGCATCGAGCGTCAATGATTATCAACACAACAAAGTGACATTGTTTGGCTCATGAGGGGCAGATGCTCTGGGTGACTGTTGATGACGTAAAACAATTTGATGGGATGTGTGACTAGTGGACCAGTCACTGACTCCAATCACATTTCAAGTAATCACAGTCCTTCGGTCAAAGCTATCCAGTTTGTGATCAACCTTGGACAGAGCACAGAATAACAACAAAAATTAAGATGTGTCAGTGTCTATATGCTTCCTTAACTTTACTACTCATAACACAACTGGGAGAGTGTTTTATGGGACTTCATATCATAGTATTATTATGTGCCCTTGGTAATTCTGGATGGCTGGTTAAAATCTATCCATGATGAAAAGGAAATAAAAAGTGGTAACACCAATGGCATATGTAATTACCAAATAACTCCAGGACATATGTTTGGCAGAACTTTTCAAAACTTGAAGATCAAAGGGGAAAAATTGAGAAAATGCATTCCTGGTGGTAACCAGGTGGGAACTGATGGTCTCCATCAGAATCCTTGGCACTTCACAGAAGAGATAAGAGAATTCAGGTGTGTGGGGGCCAGGATTGGGCATCCCCATGCCCAACATTGCTCAGAATAGATCTTAGGTTTAACCTTTTTATGTTTCTATATAAATTTTCATTTGAACGCAGAATTTAACTTCAGCCCACTTCCACTTCAAGCCCTTCCAACACCAAATACTTTCCAAAGTAATATTCTATATTTTGGGAATTTCAATGATGAGTTCAAGATTCAATATTCTTGATAATATTATTGAACATTCAATATTCAGAGCAATTTTTATAGCCTCCGGAAGAAGCCACTCTCAGGAGCCAGGGTTGTCGCATAATACGTGGGTTACAGTTTCTGCCGATGACTAACAGAAACTCCTAATAATAAGAGATTTCTTGGAGAAAATTACAGTAGTTCCAGTAGGCTGCTAGCGGTCCCCGATCATTTTCCTTTTTCTGACCAAACTATATGGCTTCTTTATGCAGTTCCTCATCACCAGGTGAAGTCCGAATCATTTCACCTGTCACAAAATCAAAGTACTCAAGAGATTCCTCTTGCCATTGCCAGGTAAGGAACCAGGAATCCCTTGTTGGTCCCAGCCTGGGGTCAGGCCACGTGTTGTCTCAGATAATGACTCACCAAGGCTTCCTGAGAAATGGAAAATCTTTGGCCTTTGATAAAGAAGCCCAATGATGAGGCCCAAGGGAAACCTGTGAATCACATTTGTTATTGAAGCTAATAACATTGTTCTTCCCGCACTTTATAAGTGATTGAGTGTTAGAGAAGTCTGGGAGATTTGAAGACTTGAATATTAACTAGATAAGGCTACCTGGAATGAATGCTAATCAGTCTGGGAAGAAAATTTGGCCATCTCTAACTCGTCTCAGTTGATGACCGTACAGAAGCTTACAGTTACTTTTGAATAGCACTGTATAGATGGCCAGGGGTTGAAAATGCCATTATCTGACTAAATACTTGCCTGATCAAATTATTGTGACAACTGACATCCCAACTGAAGAGTCGAGGAAGCTAAGGATCATGCTGGTGACTCATTGACCAAGGTCACTGTAAATTAGTGGTAGCTTCCTTAAAACAAAATCCAGGGCCTCCAAAATTAGTTCTTCTAAGGCTCTCATGACTGCAGTCTGGCCAGGAGCTCCAGCCTTGGTTCGTAACACTCTACCTGCTTTCCTACTGTCCAATGTCAGTTAACACAGGACATTTGCACCTGCTGTTCCTCTGCCTATGCTGCTTCCTCATATTTCCCTCTCTCTACCCTCTCCCTACTTGAAACTCCTCTTCATCCCTCAGACTCTAGTTTAAAGCCACACTGAATCCAGAATATAGTTCTGACCCATTCCCCAGAGGGAATAAATGAGGCCCAGAGATGCTGAGTCCTTTACCATTGAAGTCAAGTCCAACTGCAAAGCCCAAGCACTTTTCAGTAGCTGCCCATAAAGACTTGATTCTAAAATCGCAGCCCATGGATCCCGACTTTCCCTGGTGGCTACCCAAGGTTGAGATGTTATCTCTTATTTATTCAATAAATATCTACAGGGAGTATACCCTGTTTGTGGCAGAATAGAGCAGTGCATAGGAAGGATCCACTGGAACGAGACTGCCTGGGTTCATCAGTAGCAAACCATGTGATCCTGGGTAATTATATCACTCATCTTTCACAGGGAACTGAGAGCAGAGCCAAGCCTGTTGCAAGTGCCCAGTAAATGCCAGCTCTCATTGCCATTGCCAGGCATTGTATGTCAAGGGAATGCTCTCCATCCCCCACGCCCTTCCCCTCCCTCACTTGCATATTGTTTTTTGATTGTCTTTTATGATATTTTTTATACTCTCTTTTTCCTTATGAATTTCCTTATAATAATCCACAGTTTTCTCACCTAGCTCACATTTCAAGAAGGAATAAAATAATTTCTATACTCTCCTTCCTTGCCATGGCTGACTCTCCTTCAATCAGCATACAATTTCTATAGAACAGAGCCCCAACCAGCCACATACCATTTTCTATAATGACTGTAGTTACAAGACAAACGTAAATTTGTGGCTTTCAAAAGTAAAGAACTATGGTATGGGCTCATTGAAATGATATGGAAAGAACTTATATAGGTCAGTCAATTTGTTCTATATATAATACCTGTGTATCTTGAGAAAGGGGAGAGAGAACCAGCCTCCTATTGCCTTACAAAACAGATATTCTTCTAGCATATCCAGTAAAATATTAAGAGCTTTGTAAATGTGACTTGGGCCACTATCATTGACCTTACCTCTGAGTGGAATTTTACCCACCATGAGAAATACTAACATTCTTTCAATTCAATTCTAACATTTCCTTTAGCTCTTCATTCATGGTGAACAACTACAGTATGCAAAACAGAGGTAAGAACACTATACTATGTAAGAGTTATAAAACACACAGGTAAGTCATCACACTGCAATATTCCTGCACTGTGGCTTAGCTTTGTGGACCTCAGAGTCACTGAGCTGATGTGTATAATGTCATTAGCTTGTTTTCATTGATAAATAGCATTCCAGTGTGTTAATATAACAATTTTCATCCATCATTAAATATGATCACTTAGGTGGTTTCCAGTTTTTTCTTCTTACAGACATTATGTTTTGAACCATACTATAGATGTCTTCCCATGTACATAATAATATGATAATTTCTCTTTCTAAGAGGGAAATTGTTGGATTTTAGGATGTGACTTCTTCAATTGTACTAGATGTATTTTCCAAAGGAGACATAGCGTTCGGTTTCACCAAGAGTTTATGAGTCCCCCTTGTTCTCCATCCTCTCCAACAGTTGTTTTCGACAAACTTTTAGTTTTTGCCAATCCATTGGGTGTAAAATAGATTTGTCCTAAGAAAAGTCTATGAAATGGCAAAAATAAAACTGACCTCTCTTACTAATTGATTGTAAGATAAATATCAAAAGGATACCATGTCTGTGAAGATGTCTGAAGCAGCATGTAAATATTACTGTTGGTGATGGATTTTGATATTGTTAGTATCATGACATAGATCTGTCATGTTCTTTTGTCTTTCTGTCTTTATTCCATATGCTTGGAGATTCTGTGTTCAGTTCTAATCCTGCACTCTCTCTCTCTGTTGAGTAATTAGAGAGGGTTTAGGGCTGGAGGAAGCAGACACCACGGGCAGAGTAGAAAGGCAGAGGGCTCTACTGACCTTTGTCCTAATTCTGCCTCTCTCCCTACAATAGGATCAGCTTGAGCAAGTTAATTCCTGGAGCTTCACCCTCCCCGCATGCATAAAATTCAAATAGTAATGTTAACTCACAGGGTTAATACACACAAACACACACACACACAACACTCTGCTTGACACATAGCAGGCAGCTGACACGTTTTGATATCCTTCCTTCTTTTCTGCGTTCCCTTTCCTTCTCCAGGGATTCCCTACCCAAGTGATCCCGTTAGACCAAGAGTTGCCTCTCTTATTTCCATCATGTCTTTATTTCTCATCTGTTCTATATCTTCTGGGTGTTAGATTGGAAAACCAATCTGGAAAACTCATTTCCGCTGAGGTACACATGGCTAATAAAAGTTTCCCAAGAGTGGCCTCCTTTATTTAAAGGAAGGGGGCCTGAGGAGGCTGTGATTCGTTAATCCCGTTGGATGAGCTCAATCCCTGGGAATCAGAAAACAAGAACAGTGGTGCTGGAGGCCAGACCTCAGTGTATGAGGATGAAAAGATTTGAGGTGTCCAGGTAGAAGGTGCAGGGACTGACCAGCCTGGGAAGGGCATTACTTATGGGGGTTTTGAGAATATATTGGAGGGAGGGGAAGCAGAATCTTAGTTTAAAGAGGAATCCAGAGTCTTACCTTGAAAGAGAAATAAAAATGAAGAGCAATTAAAGAATGGAGCAGCATTGTCAATGGAATAGATGGCCTTCACAGACATGCGTCTAGTCACGCAACCCAGGGCTGCGAGTAGATCATTTGTAGTGGATCCTGTAGCTTGTTCTCTACTCGTCTCAGAGGAAACCAGGTTGCTTAAAGGAACATCCTGGGATGGACAGGGAACACATTTTGGCCTCCAGCACCTTCAAACACCATTAATTCCTCTTTCTGTCAACAAATATCCACCAAACACATGGTTTGTACCCAAAATTGGACTGGGTCTAAGAATAGATAATAGGGACAACCTCATCCTTCAACTAGCCAGTGCTTAAGCACCTGCAATGCTCCTCCATTGACTTCCTGACCAATGTTCACTCTATTGGGTAAAAATTTATTTCTGCATCCCCTCTACTTGGTGGAAATTAGGTACGTAATCCAGGCCCTCACAGAGCTCTCAGTCTAGAGCACTCTCCAAAGCTGATTGGATTAAATTTGAAGGCCTCAGGTGTGTAGGCAGTACTTTTCATGGTGAACAGTGAAATCAACCTCTCTGTCAATGTAGATATTAGCATCCTGATTGCTGATTAACACCTGTTGCCAATCTTCCTCTTTTTGCTTGAGGAAGATTGGCCCTGAGCTAACATCCACGCCAATCTTCCCGTATTTTGTGTGTGGGTCTCTGCCACAGCATGGCTTGATGAGTGGTGTAGGCCCATGCCTGGGATCCAAACCCACTGACCTGGGCCACTGAAGCAGAGCACACCAAACTTAACCACTATGCCACTGGGCTGGCCCCAACAAAATTATTTTGATATATTGGAAGAGGATCCAGAAAGTTTGGTTATACTCTAAAATAGTAGTAACATTGCTAAGTTTGGAATTGTGGGTGATTTCTTTTCTTCTTTGTTTTTAGATTTTGCTCACTATTTTCTTTATCTGCATTTTATAAATATTCTTTAAAATATATAGCTCTTTTTTTAAAAAAAAATTATTTTTTAAATTGTATGTGAGGGTAAATTAAAATTTGCTAATAAATATTTATGGATACCTGCTTAAAATAAAATGCTTTTATTATAAGTCACAAAAGAAAGCTCTAGAGCTGTGTTTCTCTAATAATACTAACAACATTAGCAGTAACATTTATTGAGTGGCAAGTATGGGTCAGGCACTGTGTTAAGAGTTTTATATACATAAGAATTTAGAAATGTTAGTAATTATTGATATCAGTATGATTTTACAACTGTTACCTTTTTTATCAGGGGGCCCTGCCTCAAATTTTATTGGCCACCTACACAGTGTCCTCCTCAGTGTTCCTCCACTTACTGGGTCCACCTCTTCATTAATGTGACCCTCCATTCTCCAAGTGGGAAAGTCCTATTTCATGGGGTTATAAAACCCAAATGCAACATGCTATGTAAAGAAAACTTTCAAAAGATCAGCTGCCATTATTTTACAATGAAATCAATTAAATACTGCAGTGGATTACATGCTCAGAGTTTCATTCATTCATTAAACAAAGATCCAATCGGGACTTCAGGGGAAAATTGTGTGGCCAAGTTGGTTTTTCGTCTGTTTCGTTTTGTTTAACTCATTCTCTGAATAGGCTAAATGCTCTTTTTCAAGTAGGACTTTTTAAATATTCAGCAAGGCACTCAGAGTTGAAATGTAATAAATCAGTTGCCACAATATGGTGAAAAATTCATAATTGCTGAACACTATTATGTACGCCACACAAACTAAGTGATAGGAAATGCTGATAATGGTTATTTTCTTCTCTCAAGCATGTTCTTATTGTTTCAATCCACGTTGAAAAGATAGCATGGCTATTTCAATAATAAGTCTTACGTGTTGCTTCACTATAATTTAAAATGAAGTTTTTAAAACCATTCTTCCTATATTATGATAGCTCCTTCAGCTTTCTCTTGGTTAGGATTAGCCTTGTATACCATGTTCCATCCTCTCACTGGTGATCTCTCGGTGTCATTACCTTTTAGATGTGTAATTAGCACATAAACCAGTCTGCATCTGATTTTTAAATGCCAGGTTTACACCTTTGATATTTATTGTGATTACTAATATTTTTTGATCCACTTTTATATTATTTTGTGCCTCCTATTGCCTGCTTTTTTACTGACTTTTTTTTTTCTTTTCTGCCTTATATTGGATTCATCTCTCCATGACTCCCCTTTCTCTCTCTCCTTTGGAAGTCATCATTCCAGTTCCATTCTTCTATTGGTTACCTTGAGCATTTTAAATAAAAGCATGCTTGAATTTTAAGACTCTACAGTTCATATCCTCTTCCCAAGCAATACAAAAAACTTAGAATGCTTTTAGTTTGATGGCATGAATTCTGCACTGTGTTTGAATATTAAGCTCTTCTACTCATAAAATAAAATTTTAAAAGGAGAGATATCTTCAGCATCTTTTGCCTATTTTTAAGGTCATAAATTGGTGGGTGAAATTAACTTACTATGATGAATGTAATTTAAACTTTAAGTGATCTGACAGTTTTCTACAACAAACATTTTGATACACATAATTCCCAGTAACAAACATTCTTAGGCTCAATGTTAAAAGCCACAATCCTTGGAACCATCAAAACAGAACTTTCAATATTTCAGGAGTACCCTTTGTTCTTTTTACTAAACCTAGAGAGAAATTCGGCTTTTTGATGATGAGAAGCAGAATAAATATACATATAATCTAAATGTTATGATAAATGGCACGTAAATATTTGCTAATGTTCTATTTCGCATTTTGCCTCAAAAATGTACTGTGTCAAAAGTATCCCATTTTTTCAAAGTTCTTGTTAAGCTACTAACCAGGACTACAACTTTGGTTATACATTTTACAGTGAATTAGGACTATATAGCTTATAATTCTTCACACTAACCACCTTTCTTCCATTTTATATGTTATTATTGTCCAGTACTTTATTTTCATATTGTTTTTATGCCCTCAAGGCTTTATGATTTTTTTTACAATTAATTCTTTCCTTAAATTATTACCATATTTATAAATATTTTTGTTTAGTATTCCTCCTAACACCTCACTCCTTCCTTGTGGTTTTAATTTCCTGAAATTCATATTCTATTAGCATTTACTGGAATGATATGCATTAGATACTTAGTTTCATTGAAGAATGTAGAGAAAATACCAGATCAAAACTTGACGAGTGGTAGTATCTTAAAGCTTAGGAACCATGTGAAATCAAAACCCTTTCAATGAATTATTTTGCATTTGGTCACTTTAAAATTTATTGGTCTATCTCACTGTTTTAAAGAATCTTTTACCCAGGCATGATTTTGTAGCATCATGCATTGGTCACTTGAAAAATAATGATTCATGGAGCTGAGCAGGTCTTTCCAATGTTAACATATTTCAGGATGTAACATTTTTTAAAATCACATTTGTAAGTAACACCCCCAATCTCATCAGAAAATTCTCACTGTGGGGATGCTGTTATGTCAGAGTGGCAGATTCAAGTTTTTCCAAATTCCAATTCATACTTGAAAAGTTTAATTTTATTATTGGCAACAAATACTGTGCCATTTTCCATGAGGTGACAGGCTCACTTTGTTTATTTATAATACAACATCTGCCAAATGCCCAAGTTTGAATAACCATAGTTTGTCTGTCAGTCATTCTTTCAGGTTAAAAAAGTGGTGTTCCATTAAAACAAATGTTGTTCTTTCAAGTTAACAATTTAAAAAAAACATGCCGTTTCCTGAGTTGGGAACGAGCTTGGCTTGTTTAAGAAGCTGAACAAAGTTCACTATGGCCAGACTAGAGTGGACAATGGGGGATGGAGGGAGCGATGGAGGGATGAGTGGATGGGTGGATGGGTGGATGGGTAGATGGATGGATGGATGAATGGATGGATGGAGAAAGAAGAAGAGAAAGATTATTCAGGGCACTATTGACAGACGATAAACGTTAGGATTTTCTTCCAGAGGTAAAGGAAATCATGGAAGGATTTTTACCGCGGTGGGTTGGCAAAGTCAGAATTACATTTTTAAAAGATTGCTTGGATGCCCTAGAGACAGAGGAAAGGGCAAAAGCTGAAGAAGAGAACAATCCAGAGGAGACTTGTGTCCCGAGGGAGATGGTGTGGTGTAGACCAAAAGGTTGCCACAGACACAAGAAGGAGTAATGGGTTCCAGCTCCTTGTTGGAGGGAGGTGGCCTGAGACAGTAAGGAGATCATATTGAAATGTGCATTTACTTTTCCCAGATCATAAAGAAAGCATGCAGTCCCATTCTCCTCAGAGATGTCAGTCTCCAGGCAGCTCCAGCTCTCAGGAAAATTTGCTATACTATAAAAACACAAGCTGGAGAAAAACATTCCCCGCAAGGTCTGATGAAAAGGTAAACCAAACACATCTCTGCAACTTCTTTCTAGATGAACTTGACATCTAAATAGAGCTTTATTGAACAACGGCTAAAAGATCATCACAATTGGCTTTAATTTTTTTCCCCTTCTGGTTACATACCATTATATATTACATATTTAATTTTTTTTTTAAAGATTTTATTTTTTCCTTTTTCTCCCCAAAGCCCCCCGGTACATAGTTGTATATTCTTCGTTGTGTGTCCATTTTTAGTTGTGGCATGTGGGACGCTGCCTCAGCGTGGTTTGATGAGCAGTGTCATGTCCGCGCCCAGGATTCGAACCAACGAAACACTGGGCCGCCTGCAGCGGAGCGCGCGAACTTAACCGCTCGGCCACGGGGCCAGCCCCTACATATTTAATATTTTAAAAAGCATTTTGCTATATAACATTTTATATTGCTCTTTCACCGGAGTTTTAACTCGCATATTTCCAGATTCTCAGTGTGTTTTTTTTAATTAATCCAAAAAATGGTGTTTTATATTTTAGGCTGTTCAATAATCTTTAGAATTAACAGGGATTTGCATACTGCAATTCTTTTTCCGACAGAAGATCCACATATCATATACTCACTTCATTTGAACAGTCCAACACCTTTTACTGAGTACTTATCACATGCCAGACAACATGCTGAGGTTAGGGTCCCGCCCTAGAGGAGACGTACAGAGGGAGGGATGCAAATGGATAACAGATGTATTCTTGTTAGTCCTTCATCTGTTTCCTGGGCTCAGGAAAAAAACAAGACAGACAAAGTTTCAAATCTCAGTTCCACCGCAAGTGACGTCAGGCATGTGGCATAAAGATGCTCACAATCTCTACCTGTGTTTCCCTCCCCTGCTATGTTTATGATGAGTAGGGCCACATAGGCTTCACAAACAATATACATCCCACCTCAATAAGCTTCACAGTGCAGATGCAGAAAGCATTGATAGATAGAAAGCGTATTATCCATTCCGAGTTTGGCGCCGGGGGGCCTTTCTCAATCGGTGGGGAGAAATTTCTGATTACTTTCAATGACAGGCAAACTCTGTCATGCCAATTTCATAATTCCTAAGCTGCAGTTACTTTTTCTGTGTCTATCTCCAGATCCAGGGATAAAATTTTTGTACTGCATATCTACAATAAATCAATTTGTGACTTGGCACTGGTGGAACAAATGTAAATTTTAATTAATTAATTAATAATTAGTACTTCCCTTTGACACTAAGATATTCATCATTTAACCTTTACTGCAGGATGTCCAGCACAACGAATGGTACATTGGAGAGTACAGTCGCCAGGCAGTAGAAGAGGTATTAATGAAGGAGAACCAGGTAATGCCTTCTACAGAGCCCATCTCATTGCTTCTATAGCCATCCTATGGTTTCCTGACCGTAGGCACGGGACGCAACAAGCAGTGTGCTTTGATGCAATAGTTCCTGCATTGCCCTGTATTTCTCAATGCTGGGAGGTTGTAATTGGAAGGGGGATTTCAAACAGAGTTTTAGATTTGAGACTTGGTTGGGTCGTCTATCTGCTGTGTAACTTTCTCAAGTCCCTCTATATCTTTAAGTGTAGTTTTCTTTATTTGTTAATTGAAAATAATAAAATCAACCCTAAGGAGCTGGTATTTTGGAAATCAAATATGAAAGCTGGGTTATAAATGGAGGTCACGTGGAAGGTGCTCTCCTTCTGCTTTCTTCAAGTTTCGTCTCCTTACTAATGGTCTGCCCAAGGTGGAGTTGGGTCTCTATGCCTCACTTCTTCAGGAAAGGAGCAGAGACCATAAATGCTGTAACAGTTAGGCTATGATAGGTTATACTATAGTAACAAACAACCCCAAGATCTCAGTTGCTTAGTATAACAAAACTTTATTTCTTGCTTGCACTTCATGTCCAAGGTAGGCTTGGGTAGGGAGACCCAGACTGCTGGAGGCTCCATGTCAATGTGTGTTGACACCAGTCACACACTGGCTCTTAACACTTCACTTCTGCTCACATTTCATTGGCCAGACCTAACTTCAAAGGGGGTGAGGAAGTACAAACATACCATGTGACCAAAAGGAGAGAAGACCTGGAGTATTTGCGATCGGATCAAATGACTGCTATAACTATGATCACAAATAGGGAATAGATATTAAGCAACTACTCTATGTGCAGAGAACTATCCTAGATTGTTTAGAAGTGATAGAAGGTTTCTCAAGGTCAATGCAACATCAAAACCTATCCTCAACTAAACACTAAATGGTCATGGTTGAATGAGGAAATACAAAACGAGTAAGTTAGTTAATTAGTGGATGGGTGAGTAATGACAGGTATCTAATAAAATTTTAATAAAATCTAGCTCTCAGAATTGATGTTATAAAATTAAATGAGATAAATTATATGTAAGTTGCTATAGTAAACAGAACAATGACCCCACACACATGGTGTCCACATCCTAATCTCCAGAGCCTGTGACCGTGTCACCTTACCTGGAAAAAGGAACTTTGCAGGTGTAATTAAGTTAAGAATCTTGAGATGGGGAGATTATCCCGGATTATCTGGGTGGGTTGAATATAATCACAAGGGTCCTTATAAGAGGGAGGCAGGAATGTCAGAGTCAGAGATGGGGGGCCATGAGTCAGAAGCTGGAAAAGGCAAGGAAACGGATTTTCCTCTAGAACCTCCAGAAGGAACCCAGCCCTGCCGACACCGTGATTTTAGTCCAGTAAGACCCATATCAGAATTCGACCTCCAGAACTGTAAGAGAATCCATTTGTGGGGGTTTTTTGGGTTTTCTTGTTTTTGTTTTTTTAAAGTTTCAGTGCATGGTTGTGTATCCCAGTTGTTAGTTTAGTTCTCTATGAGAGCTGCTGCCACAGTGTGACAACTGACAAACGGGTGGTGTGGCTCTACAACCAAGAAACTACCCTGGGCTGCAGCAGTGAGAGCACCAAAACTTAACCACTAGACCACCAGGGCTGGCTCAACACATTTGTGTTTTAATCCACTGAATTCATGGTAATTTGTTATAGCAGCAGTAGGAAATTAACACAGTTGCAAACCAAGTGTCTTGAACGTATAGGTAGAAATAGAAGGATCTCATTTTCCAGATGAGGAAACTGAGGCTAAGTCAGATTCTGGGTCACAAGGTGGAGAAAGTGGCAGAACCTGTATTCCAGATCAGTGCTCTTTTCACAAAATCACGGCTGCCTTTAGTAGCCATGAAAGCTCTTTACATTCTAGATGGGGACCCACGTGTGGTTAGGTGGTGCCCTGCCTCCAGGACCCTCCTTCCCCTCTCCCTGGGGAATCCCACATGCTAATCTCTGCTGGGTAGAATGGTGGAGCAGTGTGCTGGACTTGTGGAGGCTCAGCTCCAACCTGCGTTCCTCTTCTTGGCTAATAGTACCAAATGGGCCATCATACCCTCTGAGCCTATTTCTCAACCGAAAAACTGCTCTTAGAAGGCCTGCTTCTAGATGCCGATGTGTGCGTGGTGCTAGAAGAGCAATGTATAGGTCACGTAATGTCCTTCCAGCAACGTTTGGGCGCTCAGTCAATGCTCCCTCCGCCGACCCCTTCTGTGTGCCTGTTTCTGCCTCCTCCAGAAAAAAACATTGAGAAAACAGAGTCTCAGTTGAATAACTTCATATTTTCCTATTCTGTTTGTCTCAGTTAGCATCACCAAAATGTGTTTCCCATTTATAAAGGATAATTTAATTTAAATCACAGGATTGCCCAGATTTATTGTGACAAACTCATCGCAGAGTTTAAAATGATAAATCCCAAAATTGGTCACGTATCTTGGCCTCATCTCCCTCTCTATCTTTGGCAATGTTCTGTGCTTGAGTCTTAAGGCTTCAATTGCAGCTGAATATTTTAGGCAGAACAAATTCCAGAAAATCTCTCTATCCCATTTTATGTATTTGGGGGCTGGTATATTTAAAGAGCAAGAATTTGGGCTTGACTTTTAGGTATTCCATTGACTAGCTGTGACGCTTCGGGGGATTCACTTAAGCTCTTAGATCCTAATTCCCTTACCTGCAAAATGGGGATAAAACACCTCCTCAAATTTTATGTAAATATCAAACAAAATAATGTGTGTAAAGTGCTTGGCATCCTGAGGGCAATTCTCAATAAGCCTCAATCATCATAACATCTCCATAGTTTTATAGTATTATTTATAGCTTTAATGTATTTATAACATTATTATATAGTATTATAACCATTATTATCTATAATATCTATGTGTTAGTTATAACATGTATTATATAATAATATAGAATATAATTATATATTAAAATATAGGTATTAAATATAGTCTCTATATAACTATTATAAATATGAATTATTATATATATCCATCTTTATAATGAATAGATAGTAAGTGCTGCACACATCTACTTAGGTCTATTCTTTACAGATCTTACTATCTATTCTTTGTGGATCATTTATAACCATCTATACAATAATCCATGCAAGCACAGTGACAGATTTTTCAGTATTTTTCATCATAAATGAGATGATGTCAGCACAAAACTAGCGCTTGTAGGTGTGTTTATGTTCAGGAGGACTGCTCCATTTCTTAGCCTTTTATGACCAGACCTTCATCCTGAGCTATTCCCCAGGGTGTGCCTGATTATTTCTTTTTTTAAATTTTTTATGTATTTTTTATTGAGGAAACATTGTGCAAATTTCAGGTGTACACCAGTATATTTCGCCTTCTGTATAGACCACGTCATGCTCACCACCAAACGTCTAGTTGCCATGCATCACAGTACACGTGCTCCTTTACCCCTTTGGCCCTCCCCCACTTCCCCGGGGAACCACCTGTCTGTCCTCTGTATCTATGTGTGTGTTTGGTTGCTGTTCCCTGTTGTTTCTGCTTCCATGCAGTTTGGCTATTCAGACCACTTCACATTGTTGAGCTTCTTTTGGATAGCCTCCCTCTCCTCCCTTGGCTTCTGTCACACCGAAGCTTCTGGGTTTCCTTCTGTCTCTCAGACGTCTGCTTAAATTCCTTTTCTGTCTCCTCTTCCTTGCCCTGCACTTGCCTCTACCTCAACCCAGGCCAAATTTTCTCCTCCCTCAGAGTCTCTCCACTCATTTTAATATCAATGACTGTGAAGCCCCGCATCTTTTTTGGGGACCGTAGTCCTATATTGACATCTCCCCACACAAAGACCCAATTTATATGCTAAAAGCCTCTCCTGCTCAAAGCCTGTGATGGCTCTCACTTTTCCTGGAATAATACCTGAGCATCAGGCAGAACAAGATATATGTCAACATTGGCAGATGAAGGGAAGCACACCCAGCAAGGGGGAGGGAGTTACTCCAGGCAGAGGGGGTGGCGTGTGTGAAAGCTGGGAGCCCAAAAACAAGACGGCACCTTTGGGAAATGGTGGCTTGACTGGAGGCAGGATGCAGAGGCCAGAGACTGCAGGAGCGATGAGAGATAAAACCACAAGACAGGTTGCTGCATTTACCCATGAACGTCATGCAAATGATGTAGGCATGATGCTGAGTAGAGGATGTTGAAAGACTTGGAAGATGGGGTGTCATGATCTGATTGGTAGACTTCTCAGAACATAACAAGAATCCTCATACATACTGACACTCCTTAAATACTTACTGAATTAAATTGAATAAAGAACTGGTTTCCCAAAAATTAGAGCCATTTGGGAATCTCACACAGGCACGCATCGCTGTTGCCAACATTGTGAGGGTGGGACGCTGGCTTTCCTGAGAAGATAATCCTCCTTCCTTTTGCTTCAGGATGGTACTTTCTTGGTCCGAGACTGTTCCACGAAATCCAGGGCAGAGCCCTACGTCTTGGCGGTGTTTTATGGGAACAAAGTCTACAATGTGAAAATCCGCTTCCTGGAGAGGAATCGGCAGTTTGCGCTGGGGACAGGACTCAGAGGAGAGGAGGTGGGCATAACTTCACGGTTTCCCTTTTCCAGGCCAAAGACAACAAGTGAGGGGAGAGTTTGGGGGATGCTAGCCCAGTCATCTCCACATCCCCGTAACTGCAGGACAGGAGAAAAGAGCGCCGCCCTGGAGGTGGAGAATGTCATCTAGTCCTGCCAGGCCTGTCCACAAGCATCCCCACACACGTCTCACACTTCAGCTCGCGGGGCCAGCGGTCTATCCTGACCATTCCATGCACCCTCTGTCCTGCTTTGCCCACTAGAGAAAACTCATTCTGCAAGACGCATCTAAATTCAGCCTCCCAGGAGGCCTCCACCGAACCCCACTTTAATGCCACATTCCTTACCTGCCCCGGCGCTTAACTCGCACTGCACGCATTTCTGACAGCCTCTGTGAGCATGAGGAATCGGTAGGTTGGTGTCCCCAAGTTGAATGTGAGCTCAATCACAGCATTCAGTGCTATGCTGAGCATGCCCACCTTCAGTACAGATCTGCTGATAGTCAGCTGGGTAAAGGAATGCATCAGTTAAAGCATTCATTAATAACTGTATGAATAAAGCAGAGAGAAAGGAGATTGATTTTCACTGCATGTGTTGTGCTAGGCCTGGTCTGTCTGCACTATCTCATTTTCATCCTCAGCAACTCTTTGACATAGCGATTGTTCTTATCTTAGATATAGGGAAACTGAGGCTCAGAAAATGAAGTAAATGGCTAGAGACACACAGGGAGTGAGAGGGCAGGGAGAGGCTGCTCTTTCAACTCTTCTAGGAAGGAAAGAAGAGAGGAAGGAAGGAAGGGAGGGAGGGAGAGTGGAAGAGAGGGATGGAGAAAGGAAGAAAGGAAGGAAGGAAGGAAAGAGAAGGGAAGAGAAGGGAAGGGAAGAGTAAGGTTCAAGTTCCGACTCACCATTTATTTACCAAGGATGTGAGCTCAGGCCAGTCACTTAACTTCTCTGGGCTTTAGTTTCTTCAAATGTAAATGTTCTTTTCAAGTCTAGACTTCTATAACTCAATGATTCTCATTTAGCATCTCCAGACCTCAATTTTATCTGTTGGTATATATTATGGGCCGAATTGTATCCCCCACCAAATTCGTATGTTGAAGCCCTAACCCCCAGAACCTCAGAATGGGACTGTTTTTGGAGAGAAGGTCTTTAAGAGTCAATTAAGCTAAAATGAGATCAGTAAGTGGCCCCTAAGGACTGGTGTCCTTATAAAAAGAGATTAGGACACAGAAACACACAGATGTGAAGTCACAGCAAAAAGACAGCCATCTACCAGCCAAGAGGAGAGGGCTCTTCTAGAAGAAACCAACCCTGCCGACACCATGATCTTGTACTTCCAGCCTCAAGAACTGTGAGAGAATAAATTTCTGTTGTTTAAGCTCCCTGCACCCCTTCTGTGGTACTTTGCTACAGAGGCCCAAGAAAACTAATATGATATGAAACTAGAATCTTCACACAAATATCTATTGTTCTTCAATAGATATCAAAATAAGGCATACTGCCAGGGCTGCCAAAATGCTCCAGGAAGGCACGTATGTGAAAATCCTATCAGCAGCTGTGTGAAGATTCCAGCTTAAACCCAGGGCCTGATCCAGAGCCCTTTTCTCAGAATCACACGTGGCTGGAGAGGTGTGCTCTGCACTGGCCGGGCTCCCGAGGGGTCAGTCCACCGGCCTTTGCTACAGCCTGGAAAAGTTTGGGCATAAAGGAGAGCATGAGTGGATATCTAGATTAATACCTAAATCTGCTAAATAGAGCCACATTAAGAAAGTGTTACGGCCAAACTCAAGAGAGAGCAGCCCATTTTTGCTTGTGTAATGAGGATTAGTGAGTTAATGAATGGAAAACAGTCAGAACCCTGCCTGGGAGAATCGAGTCCACAGTAAATGTTAGTTATTCTATTTTCATTATTATGACTGAATCATAATAACTAGGATATAGTTCCCCTCAACCAGATACCTCTTGTTAATGGACTTTCCAGCTCAATTTCCCTTTATCGTACTATACCTGCTTCCGACTTATAGAATTTCTCATTTAAAAAAAAAAGGTTTATACAACTTTCAAGTTCTTGGAATTAAGGATTCCTTTTCCTTAGAGACTACAGAAAATGGAAATCATGTGGCCTAACATGTGCGGGGCCTTCTGTGAGATGCTGTTTAATTTGCTCTCGCATTTGTCCTCGCAAAAACTCAGGGAAGGACGCCTTATTAAACTCCTTTTACCAGTGAGGAAACTGAGACCTAAAGAGGTTACAGCTTTTTTTCCCCAACCATGCCATACTCTGGTCTGCTAAGAAAAGAGGAAGCAGTGTCTCTGTGATAACATCCTAATAGCATTTAATCAGATCATCACAGGTTCACTGACTGCCTCGGCAGGTAAATGGTCATCTATGACAGACAGCCCAGAGATTAGACTCTCAGCTTCCAGGTGAGTGGCTCTAATTATCATCGCTGAGGACCCCTTAGGGATTCCAGTGCCTACTTTAAGAAGACCCTTTTGTGTTCCAAAATTTTCTCCTCCCATGCATCCCAGGCAAGAGTTTCCTTTTCATATTATTTATTCACACTCACAAACACGTACTACGCACAGACACTATTCTGTGCCGTCAATGGTTATTAACTAACTTGAACAATTTTATCCCCATAGCAACCCTGTGAGGTAGGTGCTGCCAATATCTTCATCTAATCAATGGTGAAACTAAGGCACAGAAATGTTAAGTAACTGGCCCATGGTCACAACTACCGTATGGTAAAGCTGGGGTTCAAGGTGGCCTGCAAATCTGTTAACATCCTCATACAGTCTCAGATAAAATCATGACCAAACACAAAACAGTCCCCAGCCGGCTTGAAAACAGTGCAAAGTGCTGGCTGAAGAATCGGTAACACTTACAGGGAGCTTACTGTGTGCCAGGCACGGGGTGACAAATGCCTGCACTGTGCTGGAGGCAACGCTCCATTCTGGGTACACAGAGTGGAGTACAGGAGAGGCCCAGCCAACGAGGGGGTCCCCCGGTAATCTGTGCCTGTCTGCGTGGAGAGAGGCAGGGAGAGACTGGAAATATGGAGCCAGCCGTAGAGTACCAGCCCTGGCCAGCCAGAGGCACCTGCCACAAATTTCCTCAGCGCTCCACCTGCAGCACGCCTCAACGCTGCACCCGAGGTTTAGACATCACGTTTGTCAACATCTCTGTGACAGCTCGTAGAGGGGAGCAATTTCAGCCATCAGACTTTCCCGGGTCCTACAAATGTGTGTGATAAGCTGCTGAAAATTATGACGGATGTTTACTTGAAAAATTAAACTTTAAGGAGTAGGAGACAGAGACAATGAACCCATGGGTTTATTTCTCACTTCTTCTGTCTGCTTCTCTCTCCTCCCTCTCTCTTTTTCTCTCTTTCCTTCTTTCACCCCTATGAGCATACCCAAACAGAGTTATTTACCTTTCTGGCAGTGAAACATTGCCCACAATTGGTATATAGGGCTAACAAAAAGGTTTAAACAAATTTTAAAATCTAACATTAGGATGACATTTTCTGTCCTCCTGAAAAAAAAATCGTTTAATACAAAAATAAGAGCTTAATTATAATCTTTTTTACAAGGCTCTTTAGGGTAATATATGGGTTGTGAGCCTATTGCTAGAAGTCAATAATAAGAAATGACAGTATGATTTATTGTTCCTGTTTCGCTTGCTTCCTATGACTTGCTAAAATTACAATTTTATACAAAATGTCACCCTTGTAGATTACCAAAACAATTAACATTGAATTCATTATTTTGGGACCATCCTCAAGAAAACAGGAATAAGAATGTGAAGCAAGCATTTTTCCTCTGAAGATTAACACCAGGAAAGATGATTTCCTTTGGGTAATGTGGGTTAACCAATTTTGTGGAAGAGTTCTGCATGAAAAGTTTTTTCCATAAATCACTTTTTGTTGTGTCAAGTAGGAAGAAAGAGCAAGAAAACTCTGTCCTTAGTTTATAACTGGAAATGACGTATAAAAATTTCCTTTCTTCCTAAAAGCTTACAATGATAGTCTATAAACTTCTCTGGTGACCTCATTGCTCTTTCATCATATTCTTGGCAAACCTAGAAGGAAAAAGGTCCTAATAATGCCTGACATTTATTGAGCACTCACTGTGTACTGAATTCTCTTCTAAATGCTGGATATGCATCAACTCAACTAATGGCCCTCAGAGGTGGGTCCTAATATTACCATCGCTGAGACAGAGAGTGTAAGAAACTTGCCCAAGGTCACACAGCTAGTGGTTGGGAGAGCCCTGTTTGGAACTCAGGCACTTGATCTCCACAGGCCCTTAACTTATGACTTCAGTAGCAGAAAAATTACTTTCCCAGTGACAACAGGGAAGCCACCTTACCATAGCATCAGGTAGCAACCAATAGTCATTATATACCTGTTAGGGGCGGACAGATAGCTTATCTCATTGAAAACTCTGCCACAGACCCAGTCAAAGGCTCAGGGGGCAAGTGGCCTACAGATTTACTTAGGACGCTTTCAGTGAGAAAAGCAAAAGCCAACTCAAATGAGCTCAGGTGGGAAGGGGGGAGGTTTGTTGACTCAGTCACCAGGAAAGACAGGAAGGGAGCAGACCCAAGACTGGTCCGTGTTAGGAGACCCATGACTCCACGTCTCTTTCTCCAAGATTTTTCCCCCATGTGATGCTTACTTGCTTCACAGGTGGCAGGAAGGAGGCCAGGCCATGGCAGGTGCAGTTTTCTAGCGTTTCAACTGAGCGCTCCCCTGAGGAAAAATTAGTTCCCTCCGAGAAGCCATAGGCAGCCTCCAAGGGAAGCCCCCGGGTGGCCTGGTGAGGTTCTCGAGCCCAAAGGTGATTACTTTCACAGCACATTATCCCTACACGAAATTATGTATTTGTATAAGAAATTATTTTCTGCCTGCCCCCACCAGAAGGTAATCTCCGTGAGGACAGGGACCTTGACAGTCTCCTTCCCTGTTGGGTGTCCCTAAGGCCTGTGAATCCTTCTGTGCTAGGCCGCACTGGGCAGAGGCAGGAGCATTCAACACAAAAGCAGAATCAGAGTCCCCCCTCCCCCCACCGGGACTCCCTTCCTCCAGGCTGTGTCATCTCTACCCTGGTCTGTTGGAGCACCGGGGTCAAAAGCCGTAGGCAAAGTTGCATATAGGAAAAAACAGACTCGAATCCAGAAAAACCAGCCTCCATTCCTGGTCCTGGTCCTCCAGCCACGTGACCTCTGAGCAAGTCAGCCCAGTCCGTGTCTCCGAGCTAGAGTTTCCTTAGCCCTTCAGGGAAGGTCATTCTACCCGCCCCGCTCACTTCCCAGGGTTCCTGAGGAGGATCAACATTCTCTCAAGGCGTAGAAGTCAGGTTGTGCAAGCTCTTCCTATTTATCTCCCTATATCCACTTTCAAGAACTCATCCAAGCTCAGCCAATCAGAATGACCGTCTATGCCCACGTGTTCTCAACAGCTGTCTTTGTGCACCGTCTTCCTCTGCTTTAAATATCATTAAGCCCTCCTTGTCCACTTACCTAGAATCACCCAGAATGTATAGCCCATTTCAGGGCTATTATCTTTGACAAAGCATTTGCTGATTCTCCTAAACTTGAAATAATCTCACTTTCCATTAAATCGCCAGAGCACTTTATCCGTACATCTCTAGAAACATAAAAGTGTAATGGTCTGCTGTCACCTCCTTATTTCACAAGAAGCCCAGGGAAGGAAGCTTAAGTTGGCTAAGAATGACCCGCAGCCCTGTGGTCGTCACCGTTCTTTCTGCTTATGCCGGAATTCGTTACAAGAGGGGTTTACAGGAGGGAGAGTTCACTGCAGGCCTTTCCCACCAATTTACTGAGTGAGGGTCAGGCCTTGACGTCCACATTTTGGGTTGTCACAGTTGGTGTCAAGGTAAGGGAGGGCCACAGATGCTCCAGGTTGACTGCTATGTAATTAACTCAGCTGAATTGCTTACCATAGGAACATGTGGTCACAACAGAGTGCACCTGGACCAGCCTGACCCGGTTCTGGTGAACATTCCACCGGTGGGAAGCTTAGAGAGCTGCCAGAGGGTTCACTTTTGGTCTTCCCAAGTCCCTGTGTTCTCCCATGTTACCTTATAGGTTTTTTTGGTTTTTTTTTTTTGAGGAAGATTAGCCCTGAGCTAACATCTGCTGCCAGTCCTCCTCTTTTTGCTGAGGAAGAGTGGCCCTGAGCTAACATCCATGCCCATCTTCCTCTACTTTATATGTGGGATGCCTACCACAGCATGGCTTGACAAGCAGTGCCATGTCTGCACCCGGGATCTGAACTGGTGAACCCCAGGCTGCCGAAGCAGAACGTGTGCACTTAACCGCTGTGCCACTGACCAGCCCCTATCTTATCATTCTTATCACTCATCCTTCTAGAGTTTGTTTGCCACATCCCTTTTTTTAAAAAATCACTTTCTGACACATCTTTATAATCCAAAAAATTTTATTTTATTCTATTTGTTTTTAAAGATTGGCACCTGAGCTAACATCTGTTGCAATCTTTTTCTTTTTTCTTCTCCCCAAAGCCCCCCAGTACATAGTTGTATGTTCTGGTTGTAGGTCCTTCTAGTTCTGCTGTGTGGGACACCACCTCAGCATGGCTTGATGAGTTGTGCTAGGTCCGCACCCAGGATTTGAACTGGCAAAACCCTGGGCCACCAAAGTGGAGCGTGGGAACTTAACCAGTCAGCCACCGGGCGGGCCTCCAAAGAATTTAAATAAGTTAACTTCTTCTCTAAGTAAAACAAAGCATCTTAGGCTACACTTTTAACCTACAGACACAAAAGATAGATATCTAAATTTTCATGAACTTTCTTTTCTGTGTTTCAGAAGTTTGATTCGGTGGAAGACATCATTGAACACTACAAGCATTTTCCTATTATATTAATTGATGGGAAAGATAAAACTGGGGTCCACAGGGAACAGTGCTACCTGACTCGGCCACTCCCTCTCAACAGACTCTTCTCACCTTGGTAGCCTGGCCTGTGTTTATCTTCAGTTCAGTGCATCCAACGCCTCTATCGTTTTTCATTTATTTCAAAAGATTATTTTCTGTGGCTTTAAGGGATTTCTTCTTTGGCTTCACAGAAAAGAAAAACATTCTATAATGGAAATTAGAAAATCAATCACGAGTTTAAAAGCTCAAACCACAGAAGAGATATTTATAAGATGCAAAAATTAAAACTAACTTTTAAAAAGTATCTTCTAAAGAAAAAACTATAAACATGGTCATTACGTTCATGTTACTGACCAGCAACAGAGGTTACAAGAAGCTATTGCTTAAATGTCTGCAGTTAGCACACAAGAAGCCTAGGTGAGATTCCCAAATCTACGCTCTTTAAAGAACCCAGCACTGCCTTTTCTTTATTTCAGGACTGTTTGGACTTGTGAATTTCCATCGTCTACGTGATTCCTTATGCTAAGGATGTTGGTGAATGTTAGCTCTATTTGTCATCCTGGAAACTTAATTATAGGAAAGGGATATGCTGTGGAAAACAAGAACACTTGTAAATATCACTTTAAAGACAGAAATCAGAAATGCTTTGACTATGGTGTGAAACGGCCAATGGACCAGTCTCTAGCAGACTGTTTAGAGCTGCTGTAAAAAAAAGTGGAATTAGCAGATTCATAATAGGAAGTAAGCTTAAGTCTGAGCGAAAGTACAATGTTTTTTTTTAAATTCTACCTGTGGACTTCCATTCAAAGGAAGAGAAGAATGTTCCTCTAATTAGTGTTAATATCTGGCAGGAACATTGCACATGTCACAATATTGTCCCCTCTCAAGGCTACGAGGATCTCATTTTATTCCTATTTTACAATACAGATGAGGAAACTGAGGCTCAAAGAGATTACTGATCTTAATCTAAGAAGAGAGCCCAGATTTTTATCTGCTTTGCCTGGCTCCATTCAAGCACATCTTCCCAACTACATTCCCTGTGGGATTTTATAATCAAACTGAAAAGCTAAATTAAAGAGAAAGAGAGAAAGAAACAATTTGAAAATACAGATTTACCCACATTGAAATAGATAAATAAATAAACTCTTATAGTGGGGTAAACTTAAAAAAAAAAGAATTCTGTTTGAAATTAATGTATATAATGACTTCAAATGTTACCAAAGCCTAGATGTGAAATTTACGGAGTATTTATGTAATTGTAGATTTAATGCAGCAGTAAAATCAACAGAATAGGAAGGTAAGAGATATCAATGAAAACAATACCAACGATGCCCAGTGTTTCTCTAAAAAAGCAGACAATGAGCACTCTGATTGGAGCTCTTGGCATCTACCAACCAGCCCACCAACTGCCCAGGTTCTCTCCTTTCACAAGGGCAATGTGAAGTAATGCCTCTAAGTTAGACCAGGAGATTTGATGCAGAAGCTGCTTGTAAAGCTGGAACTCTTGATCGCCAGCTGAGCCTGTCTTAGAGTGCAGCTGCACAGAATAACATACGAACCACACACAAGAGTATTTGGATTGGAGCTTGGCTACCGAGGAGCAGACTGCTCAGAGCTGAAGGTACTGTGGTTGCTGGTCACTCTCAACCGGACTTCAGCAAAACCAGGCCAGTGTGGAAACAGACTCTGCAGAGAGGCCATAGGCACGTGTGCAGGAAGAATCTGACCTTCATCCTCAAAAGCTATTGGGAGATTACAGATCATTCTGATTTGCTTATTCCCTGGGGCTGTGCTACTCAATGCTATGTTCTCAAGAAATGTTCCTGAGTCTCCTCAAGCATTGCTGTTGTTAAAGTAAATGAGCATTAGGTGTTAGTTAGCATCTGATGAGGTCTATGTTTCCAAAAATATGTTATCACCTCTTGTTCACAAATGCATGATATGATGCTAAGAGGAAAAAGAAGTAGAAATCGACCATCTTATAATAAAACGCCCACAACATTTATACATATGAAAATCTCTGGAAAGAAATAAAAAATTCAAAATATTGACAGGGATTGCTTTAGATGATTGGGATTTGAGAGACCATGTTAGTTACGTCTTCTGGAACTCAGATGCCAAGACAGGAGTTAGAAGTGCAAACATTTATTGGAGGCAACGCCTGAGAAAGATAAAGGGGAGAAGGAACAGGAGTAGACAGGGAGAGCCTTCAGGCTGGGACGTAGGGCTGACGCCTATAAGAGGAAAGAGGGAAGAAGGGAGGAATGAGTAGGAAAAGCACCAGTCTGAGAAGCAGTTCTGCGAGAGTCTTGGCCAGCCCATTGGTAATATCCAGAGCAAAGACTGCCCATAGAGGAGAGAGTACCATAGTGGGCAGAAGTGGCCAGGTCTTAGTACATCACCATGCTAAGCCATTACCGGAGACTGCCCAGGAAAAACACAGCCTTCAAATGCCATGGGAGATCTAGAAGGCGCTGCAGCTGAGGCTGTCAGGTGATTTATTGATCAGCAGGTTCTTCTTTCAAGGGAGATGCAAATGGCCCACCTCCATGCCTGCCATAGTGACGTTCTGGTTTTCAGTGTTGATTACAATAAGGACATTTTGCTTGTAATAGACTACTAAAGAATAAGGATGTATAAATTTTAATTGTACTTGATTCTTACAACAGTTCTGTAAAGAAGGCATGGAAGGTATTCTTAAATCATTTTATAATTGAGGAAACTATGTTTTCTTGGCAAAAATCTTACAGTGACATAGTCGTGGCTGAAAACAAGCTCTTCACACACAACTCTCCTATTCAGGGTCTAGCTGCTTATTGGCTCTGAAATTGAAAGCTCAATGATTTGGCCTTGGCATGCCCAAATTCCAGAGGGTTTTAATCCCTCTTAAGTATTATTTCATTTTTAGTTCGAAAGTGTCACTTGATACCCAGCCTCAGTAAAGCAGTGGAATTTTAGCTTTATCTGATTATAGCATCTATACATTCCAGATATTTCTTTTTGACTAAGTAATTCCCATTCTGGGTCAGTTTATGTCTTCTTCCTCTCTAGTAATACCTGATGCACTTATTTGTGCACTGCATATGAATTCGCTGCTAGGCGCTCTTGTAAATGTTGGAATTATAGTGAATTTAGTGGGAGAAACAGACAACAGGTATATAATAAGATAATCTAAGTTGGTTTCCCATTACTTTGTTGTGTTTCCATTTTAATACTTATCACTGAGTGCTTGTGAGTGAGGCCAACATTAGATATTTTGATGAAGCTTATCTGAGATGGCTTTAAAAAGTTTTGAACCAAAAAATTTTAAATTTTTCCAAATTTATTCAATGGAAAATTCTCCTTCTTGGCTATATGGCAGGGGTGGGGGTGTTGTGTTTGAGTAGCCACATCATAGCTGAAATTGAATATTCTGTTCTAATTACTATAGAAGAATCCAAATTTTCCCCATTGTCAAATTTAGCCCATTGCCGTGTGTGTACACATACACACATTTTTTATAGGATGATCCATATTGTATATGATTAGCATTATATTTGTTATCTATTTTTTTATCCTGAGTAACATTTGTTCTAGCTAAGCATATTTACATTTTTTTGAACACTCATGATTTACACCTGTGCTAACCTAAATGAAAGCAAATATGTAATTAAATGCCATATTATCTCTGTAACTGAGTATTAAATAAAGAAACTTAAAATATAGTTAAATTTTGTTTGTTTCATGCCCTACTATCCCTAAAGCCCTTTTGAAATCATATTCAGGGTAAATTTACGATAAAATTTCTAGATCAATTTTTGACATATGAGCACTAGCCTATGCTAGGTTTGAGGGATAAAGATGAAAAAGACACAATTCCTGTGATTGAAGGCTAAAAGCCTGGCAGGCAAAGTACACATGTAATTAAAATCACGCAATTCAGAAACATAGATTCGGTAATTCTCTCCCTCGTCCCACCGTTGTATTGGCAGACAGAAATGGATGCACTGGGGAGGGGACAGTCAGGGAAGGCTGCCCAGGGGAGATGTTCAAGCAGAATTGAAGGAAGCCTCTAGAATGCAAGCTTTAGAATTACAGACACTTCGTCCGTCTATTTTTGAGCATTCTTATCTTTAGGGCACTATTCTAGGCCATTCTAGTCACTAGGGAAGCAGCAATTTACCTACCACGTGGGTAAGTGAACACAATAGAGGCGGCATCCACGGGGAAAGGACAATGCTTTAGTAAGTGTCCTGGGGAGATTGGCTCACCATATGGGAGAAAAATGCAATTATGTCTCTACTTCAAGTCATATTTAAAAACAAATTCTCCATGGAGCAAATAGCTAAAAGTGAAAAGCAAACTTTAAATTGAGTCTTGCATTTTCTTCTAATAATTCTTTTGTCTGTGGGATAGGGAAACAGTTCTTAAAAAAAATGAAAACATAAATCATAAAGGGAAAGATTGATAGGTTCATTACACTAAAACTTAAAATGTTTGCAAAAGTTAGACAAAGTCAAAAGGGCTTTAAACAGCCTAATATAAGAATGAGCTAAGGATATAAATAAGCAAAAAATGAAAAAAACAAAAGCCAACTCTTTGCCTTGTGAGTTAAGATGTCCAGGCTTGCTATCATAACTGGACAGTGGTGGAATTGACACAAGGATGCCAACAGACACTGTCATGGAATGGACCTGTCTTTAAGGACAAATGACATGAAGCCTAATGGAGCAGACCAGGAGATGGAAGTATGGCTTCTCTGGTCCCCAACCCCACAGTGCTGGACAACAGACCCACATCGAGGGAGATTTGAGCCAGAATGCTTAAAGAGAGGCCAGGAGAGTGGGCAACCTCCATGGGAATGGCAAGTGAGCTCCCTGTCTGCCCACTAGATGAAAGGAAAAGGGACAAATGGATCCTAAACCCTTCCTCTGTGCTTACTGAGAGACTTGCTGAAACAAAAAGCAATCACCCAGGAGCCTCCCCAGCATGCTCAGGCTTCATGCTTATCTGACGTCTACAAAGCTACGTCTACAACCATAGCCAAGAAATGCCAATTAAATAACAATTGTATAGCACTTTTCACCCATCAGCGTGGTCAAAATTAAAGATTCAGATAGTATCAAAAGCTGGTGAGGATGCAAAGAAATAAAAATTCTCAATTGCTAGTTGAAACATTGCAGGGTAGGTACCTGACAATTAGCATTTTCGTTGTAATGTAAGTGCCTGACTTTGAGCTTTTGATTGCAGAGGCATCCATTTCAAAGACATCCTCTTGAGTAAACACGTTGCCAGCTACACAACTAGACGAAGAGCCAGGCCGCCCCACCCAGGAAGTTCGGCTCTGGTGACCTAGTTAACTGACCTCCTGAGTGACCCCGGTTTTCCCTTCCTGTGCTTTAATTCCCATTCTTGTTGTAAATTCACCAACAGCAAACCAGCAAATTCCTAGGCACCCCACCCTTGACCTCAGTAAAGGCAGATCCCCAGGCCCCCACACTCACTCTCTCTCTTTTCTTTCAACCTTCCTGTGTGGCCTTGGACTTGTGAATAATAAGCCTTGTTTCTTTCAAAGTTCCCTGATGGTTGTTGCTGAGGTGTGTCTTACTACCATAATAAGAACCACAAGGGCCAGTCCAGCCTCAACACTGGCTCCAGTCATGGAAATGTATGTGGGAGCTTGCACAAGTGCGGGCCCAGGTGAGTCCCCACAACCATTCCTAGCCAATACCATCACTATCAACAGGCTGAGACTGACAAAAGCAAACATGATTCAGAACAGCACTTTGGAAAGCAATTTCACAGTATTTAGTAAAATTCTGAATGTACACTCTCACTGCAGTAAGACTTCCAATGAAAACATGGCTAAATATGAACTTATCTTTGATCCCGTTGGAAACTCCACTACATTGACAATAAAGGAATTGAAAAGGCAAGAACATAAGATAAAGGGAATGGAAGAAAATACGGCAGAAGAGAGATGCCCACAAAATTTTGGATGAGGGAAATTAAATGGACAAAGAGTAACTGAGTAAATAGAGAAAGCTAAAATGTAAGCCTGCTAGGAGAAAATTCAACAGGAAACAAGTGGTTCCCATTACAAAAATCTGGAAAGGCTCAGAAATTGGAGTCACAAGTTACCCTTAAGGACTGGGTGAAAAGAAGACTCATGGATGGTCACTATAAGAATCAGTTATAACCAGCATCCCTCCCGTAGGAATCACAGGCTACTATCCCTTCCTTACCCAGGTGGTCATCAGAGAACACATCTCCAGAAAATATTTAGAATTAAGCATATAAGGTACTGCTGAAAATGAGAAGTATGTGCTATGCCAAAAATTAGGGTTTAACTGAAAATTTCATTCTAAATTTATAGAACTCCAATGCCTCTTAAACACTTGGTTCCCAGGAGGAGCAGACAGAATCATCACCCGAAACTGACAGAAGAGAGTAATTCTGCTACAAATACTGACATGTGCTGGTTCCCAACAAAAGAGCAGATCCCCACTCTATCACTCTACAGTGAAGCCCCACCCATGCACACACAGGTTCCAGCTAGTATTTTTGTGCCTCATTCTTAAATATGAACAGTCAAGATCTTAGAGAAGAGCTTCTAAAATGAAAGGCGTTAAACGAAACCTATAAACCAGAAAAAGAAAAAACACAAGAGAGAGATACGATGTGGAATGGAGAAGAAAATTACAAAGAGAAATATAGTTAATCTGATAAGAGAGATAAGACATTGAATCCATGAAATATGAATAGAATGGTAATTAGATAAATAAGTATTCAGAAGTAAAATTGAAAGCACTAAAAGGAAAAAAGACAAAACCACAATGATAGTTGGAAATTTTAATACACATCTCTCAGAAATTGATAGAGTAAACAAGCAAAAATGAATAAAGCTATAGAAAATTTTAACACCATCGACCAACTAGACCTAATTGTCACTTATAGACTACTTCACAAAACAAATATAGAATATACATCTTTTTCTATTCCACACAGAACATTCACTAAGAAGGACCATCTTCTGCGACCTAAAACAAGTTTCAATAAATTTTAAAGGACTGCAAAAATATAAGTTGTATTCTCTTAGCCAAAAAAAGGAGAATTAAAATAGAAATGAATAACAATAAGATACCTAGAAAAATCTCCAACTATATAGAAATTAAGCAACACATTGCTAAACTACTCATGATCAAAGAAGGAAACACAAGAAAAATCTAAAAATTTTTCAAAATCAATGACAATGAAACACAAAATACCAAAATTGGAGGATATAGCTATCTTTCAAATATAATGATTTAATATAAGCATTTATACCTTAAAAGCCTTAAATGCTTATATTAGAAAAGAAAGATCCATAATCAAGTACCTGTTTCCACTTTAAGCTATAAAGAAAGCATAAATTAAGCCCAAAGTAAGTAGAAAGAAATAATAAAAAGCAGAAATCAAGGAAACAAACAAACAAAAAAAAAACAAAGAAAAGCAACAAAGACAAAAGTTGGTTTTTTTTAAAGATTAAGAAAATTAATAAACAGCTAAAGTAATCAAAAACATAAGCAAAAGAAAACACAAATTACTAATAAGGAATAAAAGAAGGGACAACACAACAGATCCCACAGACATTGAAAGGACATTAAAGGGATATCAGAAGCACCTTTATTCCAGTGAAGTTGAAAAATTCAACTCCACAGATACAAGACTAACACAAGAAGAAATAGAAAATCTGAATAACACTTCACATTAAAAGAAATTAGAAACTTTCCCACAAAGAAAGCTCTCAACTATGATGGATCCTCTCAAACATTTTAAGAAGTAATAATAGTAAACTTATAAACTTTTTCAGAAAATAGAAAAGAGGGAACACTTTCCAACTCTTGTCATAAGACTGGTATAAACCCAATCATAAGTAAATAAAGAAACAAGTAAACCTAACACAGACAATACAAAGAAAGAAAATTATAGATTAATATGCTTCACAAGCATAGATACACAAATCCTTAACAAAATATTAGCAAATCAGTTGGGAAAAAAGATGCTGACCTAAGTAACTTGAGAACTGAGTGCAGACTGCAAGACTAAAGACAAAAAGAACTACAGATTGGCACCATACTCCAGCTGGTAAAGTTATTTCTCATGCACGTAACTGTATACAGGCATCCTGCATACATGCAAACTGGAATAGAACAAATAAGTAAATGAATGGCAGATGGTGGGAGCTAGGCTTCTCCCTGTTAGAGTGGGAGATTGATAAAGTCAGAATGAGCCATGTAACACCGCCTTAGAGCTGGAGACATCAGTAGGAATTCATGTTTTGCTTAATATAGATACATATGGATAAATATAGAAAAAATTACAGATATATGTGTGTATACATGTTACTATACACACACACAGTTGCAAGCTCTGCTCACTGAGAGGGCCTAGAGGCAATGACACCCCAGTCGCAACTAGCACACCCAGTGCCCAGATCTTGATTTCTAATATTCTCCAATAAAGAGAACCAGAGCTCCCAGGAGAAATGGCTGATTGTCAGGCTGGGACAGGGAACATATATGATGAGCCTGTAGCATCTTGTAGTGCCAGAAAGGAAGGAAGTGCTCAAAAACAACTGCACAATGATGGGGGTATATCAAAGGGACATAGGAGCCAAGTGAAAGAGTTCCCAATGTGACAGTTTGAGCAACAAAACAAATAACATAGCATTAGATTACAATCA